CTGTCGCTACAAGCATGCTTATTGTGAGGGATTGCTGAAGAATCAATGAGAAAAATAATAATTTAATGATTTTTAATGACCCGTAGAAACCCTGATCTGGCTTTCTACTTGTTCTGCTACGCTGCCAGCAGCTGGGAATCTATTTAGGCTCAAAAAGACGATCTAAACGCTATTAGGAAGGATGCTTGGTGTAGCTTATTTTACCAGAATCAAATGGTTTTTGGTTAATACAGGCATATAACAGGACTAAAACCAGAATTCAGTCATTAAATCATTCATTACATATGAGAAAATTTCAGGAAATCTTACATAAAAACAGAAATTCAAAAATATTTTTTTGAATTTATGATAGAACTGAATGTGGAAATGGCTGAAACATTCAAAGTTACTATAATTATTGCAGTTTTGGATCAAAAGGCCTTTAAATTGTCAGTCAGTCCGCCCCTCTGAGCATTTAATATGTCATTGATCCATTTCTTCCATGAATATTTCTCTATTGTTTTATGGAAACATGAAACCAAGGTTCCTGAACAGAACCAGGAAGGTTCTGGTTCCCTCCATACCTGCAAGATGCACGCTACTTCATTAACCGGGAGTTCAGAGGCTTTTCTGGACGTTAGTACCGGAACCATGGTCTCATCTTCACTGCAGGGTTGGTTCTGGGAAAGCTGCAAGACACAAAGAGACATGGAGGTCAGGTCAACAGACACCTGGAAACTGGGTCACACAGAACTTTATCTGGTAATGATCTGTGGGTCTGTTAGCTGCATGAAAGCTTCACCTAACAGAGCCAGAAATGGGTCGATCCAGGGAGCACTAAAGTGTTCCCAGTGCTTCTGAAATGTAAACCAAACTGAATCAGAGCGTAAAAAAAAAAGAAACCGGACCAGAACCAAAGGGATGTGAACCTGCAGATCTTCACAGTCTGTCCTGAGTCTGAGGAGCTGAAAGAAACTCTGGGATTTCTCAGACACATGCGATGTTTATCCAACCCGAGGCCGCAGAACGGAACAACAGGCACCAAACGCTGACGGGTCGACCCGACTCAACTCTCAGCTAAATGTCACAAACCAACCCGACAGAGCCAGAGAAAAGTTACCAAGAACATCCGAGGATGTTTTCCAGTAGAACCTGCCTGAAAGTCTGGCTCTTTAGAGACACTTTCAGGTCCGGGTCAGAACCGAGGGTCTAGAACGGGCTGAGCAGGACCAGTTGGACCGATTCATAATCAGGTCATACAAACAGGTCGGCCTTCTCAGGTTTCAGCCGGACGCTAACGACCATCAGCACAGCAGGAGCTAAAAGGCTTCAAGGTTCTGACCCCCCCCCAGGCGTGGAACAACCCGACCCGGTTCACCAATCACCTGCAGCTCAGACCTTCCTGTGAAGGACCTGCTCCCCAGGGGAAACAATCCTCCTGGTTCTCCTCTGAGGTGAGCTGCTGTGATCAGACACTGAGAGGATTGGTGCTGATTGACAGGGAGTAAAGCTGCTGAAGAACCAAGCGGCTGTACGCCCCCTACAGGACTGGAGGGCAGCAACAGTTCATGTTTCTAAACTCTGGTCTGATTCTGACAGAGACTCATCCTACAGAAGAAGGGAGCCTAAACTAGACTTTCCAAGAAAATATTCCTTAAGTTCAAGGACCACATGGAGCCTGGCTGCAGATAGACATCAATACTTATAAGTATTTGATCCCTTCCCACCATCATCGCAACCCCAAACCCCTTTACAGGGGAACCGAAGACCTGGCCTTTTCAGTCAGGCCAACAATTACCTTTAACGACCCCCTTTCAGAGACAGAGGCCGTTTCTTAAATCACTAGAACGCGAGTACGGACTTGTGTCCTCGCAAAGTATGGACTTGAGAAGAACTCAGTGAAGTATGGAGAGAACAGGAGCACGCAGCATAAATGGGTCAACTGGAACAGAAGCGTACTGATGACATCATCCCAGGCTCAGCTCGTCTGGAGCTGCATTTCACCTCCTGTTATTAAGAATTAATTAATATTCTCTAGATAATAAATTATTACTTTTTCATTTAGTGGGGGAATAATAATGAACACAGTCAGATAAACACTAATCAAATAAAAATTTTGCCAAATAAAACAAAAATATCGCCATCAGAGCCAGCAGTACTTCACACACGGCTATGCAGAGAGAGGGCTGCTGCAGACCGGCTAACGTTAGCC